CCTCAACTCTTTTTTTTAAACCCAGTCTTATTTCAAAGTCATGATCCTTCCCCTAGAATTGCCCTGACTGAAAATCACACTTATACAAAATTAAAAAAGGAAAAAAGTTTGAAATCTGAGATATAGCAAGGAACCATTTAAACACCAACAGGTCTATCTTAAACTCCAAACAAAAATACTAAGTTATATAACAATCAGAGAATTAGACTAAAGAATGGACCCCTTTCTGTTCCTTGGCAGTGGTGGAAGACGTGATCAGTAAGCCAGCAATACCAACGAGGAATTAGTATAATGAAAAACTCCAAAGGGCATTTGGTGCCATCTACTGGACATCAAGCAGTAAGTATAAAACAAAGGATTTTTTCTTGTTTTTCTGGAAACTATTTTACACAAATACATTACAATGACAGTTAAATAAGATAATCTGAAAGTACAGATTTTGAAAAAAGAAATGAAATCCTAAAACAAAGTAGAAGTGGTGACTCCCAGCATCTAGCACTTCAAAGGCATTACATAAGCACTGACAGATAGGCACAACCCCCAAAATAAGAATTCGAAATTCCAGAATGTTTGAACCTGAATTTTATGACCAGATTTTTAAATAAAAAGCTATCTGTAATAAGATAAACATAGGCTGACCATGGTTTATGTCTTTGATCAGGCATCAAGCTAAACTAATAGAACTGGGGAGTAAAAGAAAATATTGAAAATGGGAACCACAAAAGATTATACTTGTCAGATAATCTTCACTACATATTTTAGAAAGCCCCAGTTTCCTTCCTCTGAGGTGGTCATAGGACAGTATATAAATGCCGGTGCTGAGGGGAAGGTTTATTAAATGCAACGGGAGCTCTGCCAGAGAGGTGCCTTTCAGTGAGTACCTCAGAGTGGCAGGGAAGACAACTGTTGATATTATATAACTGTCTAAAAAGTTCCAAAACTGCTGAATTAAAAAACACTATTTATAACTGAGTTTGACATAGTTAACCACTATGACATTAAAATGAATTCTGTTTTATAAGTGTTTGAGGAATTGATTTTATTCTTCTAAGTGTAAAAATCAGAACTGTAATTTTCTGCTTTAATATAAGTCCCTTTCTTTGTGGCTACTTTGGACACTCAAATATCATGATACCCAATATCAGAAAATTAAAATTTAAAAACCTTTAAAAACACTGCTTTGCAAAAGTTAGTTATTCCACAAATATTTGCTACTTTAAAAATAGAGCAATGGCTAGACAGGGGTACATACATTACACTGAACACTACATAGCAGTTAAAAAAAAAGGTAGAGGTACATACGTTGGCATGGAAACATCCCCAAGGCAGTGCTGAGTAAATAAGTTGTAAAATGATCCCTAGAGCATATTATTTGTGTCAAAAAAAAAAAAAAAGGCCAAACTGTGTATTTTCCTCATTTCCAACACTAACTCTGTTACATACATACATGCATAAGATCTGGAAGTAAACACCACAAAGGATTCACAGTGAACCAGGGCTGTGCAAAACAGATTTAGCTGTCATAATGTTTTAAAATTTTTATAGGAAAAATGTGTTCATTTATGAGTTGGGCAACTAAAGGTTAACTTAGAAACCAAGGGAAGTGGAGTGCAGTAAGTCAGGCAGAGAAAGACAAATATCATATGGTATCGCTTATATGTGGAATCAAATGAACCTATTTATAAAACAGAAATAGAGTCACAGATATAGAAAACAAACTTACGGTTACCAAGGGGGAAAGGGGGGAGAGATAAACTGGGAGATTGGGATGGACATATACATACTACTATATATAAAACAGATAACTAATAAGAACCTACTGTATAGCCCAGGGAACTCTACTGAGTACTCTGTAATGACCTATATGGGAACAGAATCTAAAAAAGAGTGGATATTTGTATATGTATAACTGATTCACTTTGCTGTATCAGTACAGCAGAAACTAACACAACATTGTAAATCAACTATACTCCAATAAAAGTTAATTTAAAAAAAACACCAAGGGAAGTGGTTAAATGAAAAAAGTTTACTGAACTATATTCATGAATTCAACAGATACTTATTGAGTGCTTTACTGTGTGCCAGGCACTGTGTGGTGCCGGGGCTACAGCAGCAAACAAGACAGAAGCCCTACTCCTGAAAGTTCAAAGTCTAGTGGAAGAACCAGACAGTAATAGGTGAATATAGAGTGTGTCAGGCCACGATAAGCTATAAGGAAAAGGAAACTTTGCAGAGCATGTGGAGAAACTGGAACCCTCATACATTGCTGGTAGGAATGTAAAATAATGCCGTTGCTTTGGAAAACAGTTTTGACAGTGCCTCAAAAAGTTAAACACAGGGTTACTGTATGACCCAGTAGTACCTCTCCTAGTTATATACCCAAGAGAGTTGAAAACATATGTTCATACAAAAACTTGTATATGAATGTTCATAGTGGCACTATTCGTAATAGCCAAGAAGTGGAACAACCCAAATGCCCATCAACTGATGACTTATAAATAAAAATGTGGGGACTTCCCTGTGGCGCAGTGGTTAAGAATCCACCTGCCAATGTAGGGGTCACGGGTTCGAGCCCTGGTCCGGGAAGATCCCATATGCCACAGAGCAACTAAGCCCATGCGCCACAACTACTGAGCCTGCACTCTAGAGCACGTGTGCCACAACTACGGAGCCGCGCACCTAGAGCCGTGCTCTGCAACAAGAGAAGCCACCGCAATGATAAGCCGGTGTACCACAACAAAGAGTAGCCCCCGCTCTCCACAACTAGAGAAAGCCCGCACGCAGCAATGAAGACACAACGCAGCCAAAATAAATAATTTTTTTAAAAATATGGTATATCCCCAGAATAGAATATT